GGTAAATTCCAGACACACAGTAAATCCCAGGAAAATAGCCAAGCTGGCTTCAACATTGGTATTAAGGATATGTTTTTTTTTTAAATAAAAGGTTAGAAAATACTTTTAAAGTAAAAAAAAAAGGTACAGGATAAGTTGTAATAAAAAGAGGGAGCTTATAAATGCTTATATAAGTGATTGAGTTGACTAAAATCCACTTACATTAAAGGTTTTGTAAGGTCAAAATTTAATGTACTAATGTTAAACTAAAACTTAATTCTCTAAGTTTATAACAACAGGGCTATCTTAAAAATACTACATTCTTGATAACATTTACAAAAAACTGTCTTAAAAATGGTTGTCGTTCGAATGGATTAAGAAAATGTGGTATCTATACACAATGGAATTTTATGCAGTCCTGAAGAAGAACGAAATGTTATCATTTGCTGGTAAATGGATGGAATTGGAGAACATCATTCTGAGTGAGGTTAGCCTGGCCCAAAAGACCAAAAAGTGTATGTTCTCCCTCATATGTGGACATTAGATCAAGGGCAAACACAACAAGGGGATTGGACTTTGAGCACATGATAAAAGCAAGAGCACACAAGGGAGGGGTGAGGATAGGTAAGACACCTAAAAAATTAGCTAGCATTTGTTGCTCTTAATGCAGAGAAACTAAAGCAGATACCTTAAAAGCAACTGAGGCCAATAGGAAAAGGGGACCAGGAACTAGAGAAAAGGTGAGATCAAAAAGAATTAACCTAGAAGGTAACACACATGCACAGGAAATCAATGTGAGTCAATGCCCTGTATAGCTATGCTTATCTTAACCAGCAAAAACCCTTGTTCCTTCCTATTATAGCTTATACTCTCTCTACAACAAAATTAGAAATAAGGACAAAATAGTTTCTGCTCGGTATTGAGGGGGTAGGGGGAGAGGGAGGGGGCAGAGTGGGTTGTAAGGGAGGGGGTGGGGGCAGGGGGGAGAAATGACCCAAGCCTTGTATGCACATGTGAATAATAAAAAAAAATGGTTGTCGTTTTGTCAAGATAACTGTCAGAAAGTTTTGGTGCTACATGTTAATCCACAAATTTATCAAGACAACAAGAGTTTATGAAAACAGAGAGATAAGAGGCAGCTGAGCACAGGGAGTGCTGCTGCACTGATATGAGGGTTGAGACAGGTTTACTTATGTAAACCAACAGCTAAAGAATTTAAATAAAGTCACCTGAGGTCGGTAACAGAGTACTTCCAAAAGTCATACAGTGCCAAGGTGGGTTACCTCCCTGTGAGTCACTTACCTGTGAGTCACTACACCACACAGGGTATAGCCACGACAGTTGCTTGCATGGAAAATGGGGCAGTAGGTCTCTATTGCCAAGGATGCTACATGCTTTCCTTATAGGACATGGACTAAATCAAGCTGGGAAGAAACTGGAAGCTTCCTCCCTCCTGGCTGGCACTGCTAGCTGCCAGAGGCAAGTATGCAGGCTGGAGAGAAGAAATGTCACCAACAGTCCTACTTGGCTATGGAGCCCGTGTGTTACTTTATCAGCATGCTCTGCAAGATGTGCCCATGGGTACAATAACAGCATGACTGTCATGAGTAAAACCAGCCACATTCCACTTGAATCTTAGGATCTCTTCATGGGAGGGGACCCATGTTTGCTACTGTAAGTCATGACAAAAACTCATGACTGAGAAAATTATATGCCCCACCAGGAAAGCCAAATTTCCCTGTTAGCCAAATGGCAAAACCCCAAATTAGTTCAATTGAACCCAAAATGGGCTCCAGAAAGCCTCTAAATAACAAGCAGTTCATAGCTTCCTGGTCAGATAAATGTCAAAATCCCAAATTAGTTCAGATAACCTCAATTGGCTCACAACAGCCTCCAGACAACAGAGAAAAAAGAAGAGCCAGGCTTGACATGCACTGACTGTGCTAACTCACCCCAGGGTCAGACTTTGTGGCATCTAGAGTCCAAATGCTCACTCTCTGCCTCACCAAAGGATGGTGAAAAGTAGCCAATGCTGACCAAAGTGGAAAGATGAGGAATAAAATTCCTGCAGCTGTGTGGAACTCTTCTGTCTTCTCTGTCCAGGGTCAGCTATAGCTACAAGTGACTAAAGTCTAAAAGGCATATTTTGTCTTTTTTATTCATGGTCACCAATTTGGTTGAAGGATTTTTATGCCCAAGGCCCAAACTTCTGAGTTTCATAGGTCAGGTCTGGCTGTTTGCCCCAACATGGTAAGTACCAAAGACAAGTAATGGTGAAGGGCAGAGAAAGGAAGGTTATCACAACACACCGGCAGTCGTGGGAAGAGGAAAGGTAACATTCAACCCATCTTCAGCTGCTACCATGAGATGCAGGTGTCTGTGAGTGGTCCAAGTTCTTAGAGAACGGAACAAAGAATTGGACAAAACTCCCAGAAGTAGCAAGCAACGTGGTGTAGTTATTGAAAGTGAACTATACTCTCACAGATGGGAAGAGGACCTGAGCGAAGACATGCAAGTCCAGGTTCTCCTGTTGTGCTGTAATTTAAAGCCATAGCTGAGACTGAAGAGGGCTAAAGGGGACTTGAGAGGGGTGTCCCTTTTATGATTGACAGCTTTGATCGACAGGAAGTTGTTACATAACTTATTTTTGACTGTACTTTGTCCCAACCGATAATACCTTCTGTCAGAGTTACATGCATGAGATGAAGTCCCTATGCATGAAGCTTTAAGTGGGGGAGGGGCTCAAAAGGTCACCTAAGCATTGTTCCCCAGTCCTTGGTGCATGCGCTAGTTCTGGCACTTTCTGCTCTGTGCAACCATCCCCTTCTATCATGATGTGCCTACTGAGTGGGTTCCAGGGATATTCCCATCAAGATGCTACCCGAAGGGGGCGTGTTCTAGGCAGGACTTGGGTTTTTCCCAAGGCGAATGTGGTTTTAGCACCCATTTCCCCTTTCCTAGCCAACCTACACCTTCCTAACCTCCTGCCTCACAGCCATCTTCCCTGAACAGACATTTAGGTTAAAAAGGAGGAAGAATTGGGAGCAGGAGGAGGACTACGTAATTTTGATTTTTTTTTTGGTGGTACTGCGATTTGAGCTCAGGGCTTCACACATGCTAGGCAGGCACTCTACCTCTTGAGCTGCTCCACCAGCCCTTTTTGCTTTGGTTACTTTGGAGATAGGGTCTCTCTTTTTGCCCAGGCTGCCCTGGACCACCATCCTCCTATTTTACACCCCGCTTCTTCCCCTAGCTAGGATGACAGGTATGTGCCATCTGTTGAGATAGGGTTTTGTAAACTTTTTATGTTCAGGCTGTCCTAGAATCATGATTCTCCCAATCTCAGCCTCCGATGTAGTTTGGAATAACAGGCTCACACCACTGTGCCCAGCTACTGGCTGAGATGGGGTCTCATGACCTTTTTCCCTGGGCTGGCCTTGAACTGGGATTCTTCAAGTCTCAGCCCCTCTAAAAGCAAGGATTATAGGTGTGAACCAGTGGCACCCTGGTTTGTATAATTACTAAACAGTCTCACCTTACTGTCTCAGGATTGGTTTGTCTTACAGAGGCTATGTTATTCCTTTTCTTGGGGACATTTCCTCCATCTCTTATAAAGACGTTATCAATCAGTCCTGTCCTTCCAGGATTCCAAGGTGGCTGCAGGAGAGAATGACTCAGAGCAAAGGACACAGATACAAAATGAAGGCTGGGATGCCTTGCTCTTAGCCCACTTTCAGTTAATTCATGGGCCCAAGTAAGAGGTCACTGCTGCTCATTAAAAACAGCTTTGTAAGATGAGGATGCTGTCCCAGGAATAGCTAAAGAACCACACAGAAAAGTCAGGTGCCAATAGCTCACATCTGTAATTCTAGCTACTCAGGAGACAGAGATAAGGAAGTCTGTGGTTCAAAACCAGCCCAGGCAAGTATTTCTCGAGACCCTGGCTTGAAAAATATTTGCCTGCCTAGCAAGTGTAAGGCCTTGAGTTCAAACCCCAGTGCCTCCAAAAAAAAAGAACTACACAAGAACACCCCATGAAGAAAGATAGTGAAGAGTGACTTCTTAGCAAAACATAAGTACTCCTCAGTTGTGAGGTGGGCAAGTTGAACAAAGCCATGGCCCACACAGGGACAGTATACTCAGGGGGCGAGTGAACAGTTTGACAAGGGTTGAATGCATAGATGCTGTTGAGGATTGGGGTTTTATTCAATAAAGTGGGTTCTGAATGGTATAAAACTAAGGCCCTCATTGTGTGTTCCTCCCCCAAATGGCTTGGTGGCTGCACAAAGGCCAAGAAGAGTATGAACCAACAGGCCTTGTCACCCCCCACACCCCCCAGTTTGTTAGCATTACACCACACTCTTGTCCAGCCACACTTCCACATCAAACCTAGATGGACAAATACATAGTTTTCTTAGGTTCTTATCCCCCCCTCTCTCCTTTTCATGACACTGTGTAGCCCAAGCTGCCCTTGAACTTGCTATCTTCTTGCTTCAGTTTCCTAAGTTGAAGTGCTGCCTTGCTTAGGTTTTCTTGAACGGTGTTAAATGGGTTAATTATGGAAACCACTTAGAACGGTATTTGTCACAAGTAAGCATGGTAGGTCTTAGCGTTATTATTAATTTTGAAGCCTTTTACATCAATTTCCCTCCTGGTGGGAATAAAGATACACTGTGCTAGGCAGCCATGGTGTGCCTCTGTCCCCCTAGCCAACTCCCACACTTTCTAAACTATTCTTCCCCAGGGTCATATAGACCTGCCCCCACCTCGTCCTCTTCCCAGCTCTCTCTCCCAGACCAGGTTCTGCATACTTACTTCCCTTGCTCTGTAATGACCTCTCTCTTTTCCAAAGACATGATACTTTTCAGCTCCTCAGTTCTCTTTCAAGGCCTTTTATCTGCTGCACTCCCTTCTCCTCAAGGCCACCACACTTGTTATCTTCAGAGACATGCTCCTTATCCATTTCCCTGCACAGGGCAGCTAGCTAGCCTCTAAATACCTCAATTCTTATGTAGCTTGAAGGAAAGAAAGAGCTTGAAAGAAGGGAGGAACTGAAAACTATGAGGTTGAAGACTCCCACGGTAAGGCTTTGAAATCCGGGATTATATGGAAATAAAACCAGAGTTTTGGACCCAAGGCCCAAACTCCTGAGATTCCATATGCCAGGTCTGGCCACCCGCCCTACATGCCAAATAAAGAGGCATGGAGAAGGCAGAGAGAAGTTTATTACCAGCTCAGGACATGCTGTGGGAAGAGACAGAATAAGCACTCAGTTTATCTTCATCCATCTTCAGGGCACAGACGTTTAAGTAGACAAAAGAACTGGGGCCAGGGGACGAAGGTGTGCATAGCTAGACAGTTAAGTCACAGGTGTGGTCTGGTTGACCTTTATCTCAGTCCTTGTTCTGGGAGAGGTTCAGGATTTGTTATCTGGATTCTTTGTCAACTAGCAGGTGGTCCTTCCTGAGGAAGGTCTGCTGTTGGGGGTAGTTTCTGTCCCTTGCCATGAAGATGTTATCCTCTGTCTTTTCTGGAATCCAAGGTGATTAGAAGGTGGCTGCAGAGAGAATGACTTAGAGCAAAGAGATACAAAATGGAGGCAAGGGATGCCAAGCTTCTCTTGCTGTGGTTAATTCCTGGGCCCAAGAAGAAGTCAGTGCTTTTCAGCAAAAGTAGCTGGAGCTTCTCTTACAGAAAGCCTTATCAGAATTCCATATTTCTTTTCAATTTTCACAGCTGATTGGGTCACAGATTTTTTTCTCCCATCCCCAAAGCTGTCCACATATGACTATTTGTATAAATACAAGCAATATTATGAAAAAACAGGTCACTTTAAGGGAAGGTTACTAACGGGAGAGGGCTGGTAAAAGAAGGTGAATATGGCTGATGTGCTTTCTATACAAGAATGAATATAGAGCCAGGTGCATTCTGAGCTAATCAGGAGGCAGAGATCAGGAGGATTTGGGTTTGCAGCCAGCCTGGGCAAATAATTTGCAAGACCCTATTTGGAAAAAAAACATCACAAAAAAGGGCTGGTGGAGTGCTAAAGGTGTATTTTTAAACCTGTTGAAATCACCATAAAAGGGGACTAGGGTACAAAGAAGAAAAACAGAGATGAACCAATTTGGGTTAGAATGAAACCAGAGTTTTGGATCCAAGGCCCATACTCCGGAGAGTACATACACCAGGTTTGGCCACCCACCTCTAAGCACCAAATAAACAGGCCTGGTGAAGGCAGAGAAAAGAGGTTTATTATAGGGCTTGGCTTGGCATGGGAAGAGGTAGAGCAAGCCCTCAGTCCATCTTCAGCCATCTTCAGGGTGCAGACATGAGCTATAGGTTTAAGTAGACAAAAGAACTGGGGGCAGGGAACAAAGGTATGCATAGCTAAACAGTCACAGGTGTGGTCTGGTTGGTTATAAGAACTGGCTTAGATTGGGTCTTTTCTGTCAAAGGATTTAATCAGTAACCACCACTGTTACAAGCATTAGTCTCACTAACTTGCTTGTCTTATGCTTCATGGACTCTGATAAAAGTTTCTATTAAGAACAAAGGGTTGTTTTCCTTAGCTGGGTCCTGGTTCCAGAGCTGATAGCCTAAGATAGTTATTGCTTCCCTGAAATTATAAACTTCTTTGTCTCCAAAGCCCCTTTCCCCGAGATGCCCCTTTCCAGTTGTTGGGGTACTTTAACTTGCAGCCCACCTAGCCTAGAAATCAGCTATAACTGGCATGACCCTTGGGTAACCTCGTGAAGAGGAAGATAGCCTTGAAACAGGGTTGTAACCCATGGTAAACCGTCAATTAAAAGCTGTAACCTCGGACAGAGCTGTGAGGAATTGCTCCTTAGAGCCATGCAAAAGTTCGGGACTGAGATGAAAGGCACCATGCAGAGATAAGCACCCATTCCTGCCTTTCTTTGTCTCCACTTGTAAATAAACTTTCCAAAGCAGGACTCCCTGCTGTTCTTATCTAAACCTTAGGTTTCTATTCCACTACTAGCCCCTAATTTATGGGAGAACACATTCCTTGTAACCTGATAAGTAAGCCTCTGGTGTTTCCCCAGTTCCCAATAAATAATATTACCCCACCACCAGGATGTGGGCAAGATCAGGAAAATGTGACCCCAGGGCATGAGGAATTCCTATGTGACGATGATTGATGATTTAAAGAGTATAAGACCTGCTTGAACTTTTCTCTCAGGGTCCTTGTTGAAACCTGCTGTCAGGCGGATGTTCGGACCCTAGCTGGCTAGAAATAAACCTCGCCTTGTGACTTCCTTTGTCTTGAGTGTCCTTTGTCCTCTCAGAAGGTGGTCGGCCTCATACCCTAACACAGTTAGTCATCCATAGACTGTGAACCCAAACCTGCCATGAATTAGAGTTAAAGCCTGAGGGACTTCATGGAAATGGGAGCAGGGGACCAAAGGTGTGCATAGCTAAAAAGTTCCAGTCATTATCTCAGTCCTTGTCCTGGGAGAGGTTCCTGAGTTGTTATCTGGAGCCAGGCAGGTGATCCATCGAAAGGAGGGTATGCTGTTGGGGGTAGTTTCTATCCCTTTTTGTGAAGAGGGTATCAACCATTCCTGTCCTTCCTTGATTCTAAGGTGGTAGTAAGGTGACTGCAGAGAATGGCTCAGACGAAAGACATACAAAAATGGAGGACAGACACCATGCTTTTCTCCTGCTATTAGATAATTTGAGGGCCCAAGAAGGAGTCAGTGCTTTTCAGCAAAAGTGGTTTAAGCACGTCTTATAGCTTAAGCAGTAAACATAGACATTTGAGCTGGATTGAGACTTGATTTTATACCAGAGCCAACAGAATAGAGAACTTATCACATCTTTGAATTTTGTAATTTTCTGTGTATCCAAGTAGCTGTTCCAAACCCAGCACCGGTGGCTCACTCCTGTAATCAGGAGGCAGAGATCAGGAGGATCACGGTTCAAAGCCAGCCCGGGCAAATAGTTCTCAAGACCCTATCTCAAAAAAACCCTTCACAAAAAGGGCTGGTGGAGTGGCTCAAGGTGTAGGCCCTGAGTACAAGCCCCAGTACTGCAAAAAAAAAAGAATTTCCAATTTTAATTACAAAAGTGTGTTTAATAGAATTATGCAGGCAAAAATGCCTCCATTTTGGGTCTCCATTCTGATCTCCATTGTGCCCCCTGGCAAATGATAAAACCAAACACCACCCTCTTGTTCCAGGAGAATGCCCCTCAAAGAAAAAAATCACCTGTTCCCAGAAGGCACACCCCAGAGCTCCCCTTGCCCACCTGAATACTTTCCACCCCAATGATCTCAGTAAATTTTCACAGCGACCACTTCCTTGTCTCTTACCCATGGCAGACATAAAAATAACCCCACCTCCGAGTCCAGGGCTGTGCCACTGATGCACGGATGACACATGCAGGAATTTCAGGTGCTCAGGGTTCTTGAGCCTGCTCTGAGAATGAAAGCACAGACAGACTCTAACAGCAGAGGTCAGAAAGATTTTATTTGTAGAGAATTTAGTTGGAGAAAAGAGAAGAGAAAGACTGCATATTGGAGAATGCAGGGGGACCCGGAAACCGGTGATCCCCTGGGCCAGGGTGGAGAGTGGGGTTTTATAGCCTATTTGCATTGCCTGGTGGCAGAGATGCCTTTCAGATGCAAACAGACCTTTCCTAGGGAGGAGAAGTGTCTCCTTGACCTCCTGAGGTCTGTCCTTCAGTCCTTCATTCCCCCCATCTCAGTGGTCACCCTAACTGCTGTTAGGGATAGGGACGACAAGGTCTATTCAGTAACTGCTTCCTGCTGACAGGGCGATGAAGGGGCCCCGCAGTGTCAGGGCTGACCACGAGAGGGGTTGTCAAGGGGACCGTGGTAGTAGGTTGTTTTCATCTCCACCAGAGGCATTTTAATTTGATGGATTCTAGGTGAGAAGAAACAAACTTGATGAGTTTAAAATGCAAGGCCCAAACACAAGCAAGAGAATAATGGCAACGATAGGCCCCAGAAAGGGTAGGAACCAAGTCCTGGAGGGAAGCCAGGATTTTATTTGTTCCCCTACCTGAGTAGAAACCTGAGTTTCAAGAGATTGCTCCCGGAGCCACTTAGCCTGTTGGAGAATGTAGTCTGCACGTTCCTCTACAATGCCTGAAGTGTTCATATATGTGCGACAGGAGGCCAGGCGGTGGTCCATTACCATACAGGCAAGGGACGACAAAGACCTTTGCATGTCCTTAATGGCAAGGCCTACCTGGTCTGAGGTGTCCTCTACCACTTTGGTTAGGTTTTTTTGTAGTTACATGATTGGCAATCACCCCATAACTGATTCCAGCAAGGGCTCCAACTAATGCTGTTCTCCCTAAAACTATTAAAGTAACCTCTCTTATTTCTTTAGGAAGCTGTTCCTATTGTAGTTAGCATTTCTCTTTTCTTCCAAATGGCTGCATGAGCATGCAGGATCAGGAAGGAATACTTAGAATCTGTATAGATGTTGACTCTCTGTTCTTTTGACAGTCTTAGGGCTTCTGTTATGGCCACTAATTCTGCCAATTGAGCACTTGTATTAGGAGGAAGAGGACCTGATGTGAGGATGCCAAATTCTGTCACAACTGCAAATCCTGAATGTCTGACACCATTTTTAACAAAGGAACTGCCATCATTGTATAATTCTAGATCTGGGTTTTTTAAGGACTGATCAGTTAAGTCAGGTCAGGCAGCATAATTTTCCATAAGTACCTCCTCCTCACATGAGTGCTCAGGATTTCCCTCTGCCTCTGGTAGAAGGAATGCAGGATTTAGGCTCTGACAGGTCCTTAAAGTTATTTCTGTCCCTCCCAGAAGCTGGGCCTGATATTAAGTAGACAGCTGTCAGATAGCCAAAGTTCTCCTTTTGAGTTTAAAATTCCCCCTAGGTCGTGTGGGGTATAAACCATTAGGGGGCGGTTTAGGATAAGTTTCTGAGTTTCAAGCACTAGAAGGCTTACTGTGGCCATTGCTCTGAGGCATCCTGGCCATCCCTTGGCTACCTGATCTAACTCTTTGCTTAAGTATCCTACTGGCTGGGGAGTGATGCCCCAGAGCTGAGTCACCACGCCCAAA